GAAGAAATCGGATAAAAACCACGCCCACCTCTCATACAAAGGTTATGTTGAAAATCACTAAAAGTGCGTTAACCGACTAACAAACAACGTCAGAAACACTAAATTTTACGGAAGAAATGTCAGAAGGAAGCTGCATCCAGGCTTTTTTTAAAACATGAAAATGGGCGTGGCGTCGCCCACTTATGGACCAAAAACCATATCTCAGAAAGTACTCAACCGATTTCAATGAAAATCGTTATATAATATTTTCTTAACACCCTGATGACATGTACCCATATGGGTGAAATCGGTTCACAACCACGCCTGAAATCTCGATTATCATTTTATCATGCGAGAGTATAAAATGTTCGGTGACACCCGAACTGAGCCCTTCCTTACTTGTTTTTTTTTTATTAGTTATGGAGGTCGCCTCTGAAAGCTATTTGCCGCAATTTAAATAAGAAAATTATGAAGTTTTGAGAAATGGAATCGAAATTATTTCAGTTTTATTGAACGGAAACAGTTATGTATATCACGAAGTTCGATTAGATAATCTTCTCATTTATCGGGAGCATTCTCCTCAGTTATACGCTAATAACATTATTTTAATTTTTCATTGCGTCATTTCTTCTTTCGAATGTTTCTATAATCAAAATCATTTATGAAAATTCTCCCCCACGTACCTCTAGATGTCGCAATTGTGGCGTCTCCTATTTAAAAAGCACGCTAAATTTCGTTTACTCGAAATCATTCCGCTTTCATCCAATCAATTTTGCGAAGGTTTTTGGTTGCGCGACCTTTAACAGTATGCTGCCAATATTGTGTGACAATGCACAAAGCTTTCCGAAAATTGTCGCAAATAATTGAATTTCGTTTTACAATAATTCAAAATCACTTATGCTACAAAGTTCCAAAATATTACGTTGGCGGCGCTAAAAAACGTTCGCTTATTCGTGCAGAGCACTTCTATTCAAGGCACAGAAAACGCGGAAGATGTCGCCCACCTTTTGCGCCTATTTACAGTTCCTATGTATATATATATATACATATATATGTATTTATATAGTATATGCGTGTGTTCAAAGTATCCGCGTCACCTGCATTTGAAGTAAGCGTAAATTGATTTCCCTTTGTCGCTGTTGGTGATTTCCATTTTGTAACTTTATTGGCAGTCAATGATGGAGAAAGCCACACACAAGCACTTACTTACACATACAATGCATACCCGTATATATGGACATACACCTGATGAATGAAAAGACATATGGATTTTACTCTACGCCGACTTTATAGGGATCAATGTGCATCAGTATCAGCTTAGAAGAATATTGGTATGAAAACATACTTAAGTACAAATAAATATGTTATACGAGTATGTTCGCCACATGTAAGAGTGCAAAAATGTGGAACTTCGTATTATGACTCTTCTTTGCGCTTTTAATATATATTTTAATGTTTTCCTTCTTTCTTCGCTTCATTTAATTTCTATTAACTTATTGCGCACCTTCCATTCCAAGATAATAAATATTTATATTGAAACAAGTTCAAATATAACAGTATGAAATGTTAGTCCAAAATGTAAATATCGTTGAAACTCTTAGAATTTTCGACTTAGCTAATCGAAGTATTCGAAGTATCGACCCTCCGATGCCGGGCGACGTCGGAGGTATAAAAGCGTCCACCTCCAAAGCTGCCATGAGCACCAATCAAAGTGCACTGGCGGCTAAAGGAGAAAACAAATTGAAGCGCAGAAACCCAGAGTCAACTGAGGAAAAATCGGTACCAGAAGTCAAGTGCAAGTGGTCATCATAGATGGAAATTCCTCCTCTCCGAGCACTATACAGGAAAGACGGGTGGAGATCGACGTCAAATTGTCGAGTATGGTGCTAAGATTTGTACTCGACAATTTTGCGGATCCTCACCCAGAGTTTGACTTCTCTGAGACCCTCAGGAACTACAGGGTCATCAAGTGCGCGGACCAGGCCTCGCTAGATTTCCTGACGGGTAGTGTTACTAAAATCAGCAAGGCCTTTGTAGGCCTCCAATTGAGGCTTATACCCGCCAAGGACATTGTGAGAAGACCTCGGCTCTCATTTGGCTACCCCCTGTAGAGGAGCTACGCGAAAAACTCCTGAGCAGAACAAATCTATACCTGGTATAGATGAGCGGCAGCCGATCGAGGAGGAAAAACCGAAAAAAGAAAGTAAACCAATACTGGTGGCCATTTTCATTGAGGCTCTCAAGAAGACTGACTATAAAATCAGCTTCGGAATTCGCAAGGCCAGGTTAAAAATCTTCCAAGGCGACAAAGTGGCTGACGAAGACGACACGGAAGAGGTTGACGATGCCAGCCAATTGCTAAGAAATCGAAGAAACCCGAGATGACCAATAACATAAGATGCGTGCAGATAAACCAACCCTCATGAACGAGGAGGGCATCGACATCAGCCTAGTACAAGAGTCCTGGGCTAATGAAGACACCATTAAAGGGCTAAACAGCAGCAACTATAAAATTTTTTATACATGGAACAAAGGAAAAACAAGGGCATTCATTCTTATCAATAGAAGTATAAATGCAGTTATTTTTTCTAATTATAGCACCGCAGATATCACATTGGTGAAGGTGGAAGAGAAGGAAAAGCCCTTCTTCTTGGTCTCTTGGCCCATGACGAAGACCAACACCAGAGGTGAGTCACTCTTGCAGTATGTTCTGAATAGTAATCTAAGTATATGCAACAAGGGCGATAAGCAAACCTTTATTTTCCCAAGCTCTGATAGGTTTCCGCGGTTGGAGGAAGTGCTAGACCTCACGCTATCAACATACACAGTCAGTCTCGTTGTGGATAACTGGAGGGTATCCGATGAGCCTTCCATGTCGGATCACTCCTGGATACTTTTCAGCATCCGCGATAGATACAGTGCTCCTCTCCCATATCCGAACCCAAAAAAAACAGGTGGGAAAAATTTACCAGTACAGCAACAAAATGTCTTGAAAAGGAACTAGATTCAGAAGTAGAGAAGGTGGAAAAAATCTTAACAACAACTTTCAATAAATTCACTTCGCTAACAGTTTTGAAAAAGAGAAAGTCTCTTTCTTGGTGGAACAGTGAACTCAAGAATTTGAGAACACAACTAAGGAAAGCTTTTAATGGGAGTTTTAGAACAAAAATCTGGCAACCATATACAGATATTATGAAAAGATACAAAAAAGCAGTTAGGAAAGCTAAAAACGACTCATGACGATCTTTCTCCACATCGATAGAAAGTTGCAGAGAAACCGCTAGGCTGAGCAAAATGCTATCCAAAGATCATATTAATACTGCCTACATTAGGGCGGAGGAAAGTGTTTGAACGTCCTCGGCAAAAGAGTCTCTGGAGGTCCCGGCACTTCCCCGGGAGTCAGCAAACACCAGAACCACCGTTGAACGCAGCTGATTATCGAAGCCAAATAGTAGACAAAAGCAAAATCAAATATGCCATAAATAGTTTTACACCATTTAAAGCGTTAGGTCCTGACGGAATTATGCCCATAATGCTGCAAAAACTAGTAGAACCAATGGTTCAAAGGCTCGAAAATATATACAAAGCTAGCTTACAACTATCTTACATCCCAAGAAGTGGAAAGAGAAGTAAAGTTGTGTTCCTTCCAAAACCAGCCAGACGTACACACGAAAATGTCAAGGATTTTAGACCCATAAGCCTTACGTCCTTTATGCTGAATTTACTAGAAAGGCTAATAGATCTACACGTAAGAACAATAATAGCGGAGAATTTATTGAAATCCCAACATGCGTACATAAAGGGCCGAAAAACCGAAACTGCCCTTCACGAGGTGATAAGTGTAATTGAAAAATCACTACAACACAAACAATACACCATGGCTGCATTTCTAGACATAGAGGGCGCCTTCAATAACATAGAAAATCTATAATTAATGCTCTGGCACGTACGTTTCATCATGCCTAATGACTTTTTTTCATGGAGTTATAAAATTCATAAGAAATAAAAATTTTTCCGAAAAATAATCAAATTTCAACCGTAAATATCTTTTGATTGGGTTTACGAAAAAATCGTGGGCCTTTTTTGTAGAGCATTAAATTTCCTACAAAATCTGGGGAACAAGATATTTTTTCAAGATGTTGGAAGCAAGATATAAAGTTTTCTATATGATAACAAGAAAAAATAGAAAATTGTAAGTAGGAGGCCCTTCCCGTTACAATTAAGAACTCATTCTTAGAGAGACTTCCTTAGAGGTGTCTAGGAGCCTATTTTCAGAGTACCAAACGAAGAAAAAAAATGTTTTTTTTTTATCCACCCTAATATATATATATAAATTTATATATACTTGCACTATTAAATAGAAATAGAATTACTTGTCTCTTATAATTATTTCGCAAAGAATGAATTTGGGTTTTTTAATAATGTATTTATGGCAATAGTTGGAAATATGTAAATAAAACATATAACATTTTTAGAACTGGAACGTGACTTCTAAAAATAGGTACAGGCAGACAAAACTATTTCTGCGGCAAATCTCTTTGAGAAGGATAGCCCTCTTTGCAAAACTCATATTAGGCAATTTTTCCTTAGGATGGTCAAATGGTTCAAAAAAATGAGAAAATTGGTTACCAAGTTCGGTTTCAAGCGAACTTAAATTTCCTTTCACTATCCTATTTCTCTCAAAAGTTTTCACAAGTGTTTGTAAAGAAAATATTCTTATCTTTTATGTGTACACTTCATCACACTTTGACCAGACATACCACTTAACCAGCAGGCAACTTTAAGTTTGTTTGACGAGCTTACTGAGCCATTGTACTTTTCAGTACTTCTCTTAACTCTGACTAAGTTTGTATTATTATTATTTTTTTTTTCTACAAAAACATTAGTATATAATATATAGAGATAGATATGCGTTTGCTTGTGTTTAAGCCGCAGTCTGCGCTACTGTAGCAGCTGCCATCAAACTAAAGAAACTTTTGATAAGATCTCACAAAAATATCAACGTACTTGTTATCTGAGTATTGCATTTCTCTTTTATGAAACAAGAGCGAAACTTTTGAACCCATTTTCTTGGAATGGCTAAAGTTGTTTAGTGACCACTAACACAATTTTGATATAAGCGCAAGGATTTAGATAAGAGTATTTATTCCGTTATTTTTTCACCCGTTGCGTTTGGTGAGCTTGTGCTGTCCGAGTTAATATTTTGCATTTCCTTAAACAAATTTGGGTTAACTTAAATTAGAGATTGAGAGCTCCAGGGGTTTTAACACGTTTTCTTGATTAACAGAACGTCTAAATTATAATTATGGCGAGTGAGCTTAGGACATTAAAGTTTCCTGGATAAATACTCTCAAACCAGCTCTCAGAGTAAACACATTGTTCATTATACTTTGAAGAATAACTACGTAAATACCAACACTTAATACTCGCAATAATTATTTTGAAAACTCACGTTCTATATAGCTAAAGGTGGCATCAGAATGAGTAGTTGTAGGTCAATGACGGAAAAGCATGCGAGTAAAGTGGCATTCGTAACGTATACGCATGCCGCAATGAATGCGTTGAGGAAGTAATTATTTCGCCACATAATTCAAGGTCCTTTATTTGGCGAAACGATTTTGATATTCTGTTATACTTGTAATTTTGATATACTGGAATGGATATATTTGCACTGTCTCGATTCATTTATAATCGAAATTGTACGTTCTGATGTGAATAGTATGCTAGTAGGTAATTGATCATGCTAAAAATTGAGCCAACCTCTTCCATACCTTTAATTGTGACCGCCATAGAAAAGAGAACATCGATTACACTGGATCACAAATTTGAATTTGTTTTTTGTTCCACGGATGCCACTATCCAATTTGTATGTGAAATGGCTCGCTGATTTCCAAAATCGAATAAATTTTTTTTTATGAATACGTTTTTGAGATATTTGCAATTTACCGTTATTCGACCAAAAAAAAAAGGTGTCTTCATTTAATCATGTTTATCTCACTGACCAGTTGAGCACTCTTATTGCAAATTATAGAAAATAAAAGTGAATGAAATTTCCTAAAAATATTGTGTACTCCATTTTTCCATAGGCCT